GTGGCCTGGAAGTCAGAGGATCCAAATGACAAGTGTGCAAGAAGGGCTTGACAACTGTGTTTGTTACGCTTTAAAGCCATAAGATGTGAGACTTCTGGTTCTGGCAAAAGCCATACAATAACCATTACCTGATATGGAATGTATTCAATATGTTTACAGCTAATCAATTAGGATTTTTTTTAAAAAAAAATTTAAACTGGTCCTGATTAGATATAAGACCAGAACCATTATTCCCATTTGTCCCTTTAACATAAAAATCTAAAACCGAAGAATAAAAATGTTATATATTGTAGCTTACCAGTCAGATGTGGTTGCTGCATTAGTTTTTTTTTTTCTCAGACCAAGAATTTATATATATATATATATATATATATCCTGCTACAATGTCCAACAGTAAAAAGGTGATGTCTGATTAATACTGTATTTGGGCATATATTGCCACGCTAGTTCAGGTCTACATAAATCCTTCCCTCCACTAGATCTACCCATGCTAGTGGTCAAACTTGGAGCAAATTCCACTTTTTCTTCTGTAATTTAGTGTGATTAGTTATTTTTCTGGGAGTGATCTTCTGAGAAAGCCTCACCTACTGTGTATTCAGAAAGTGGAAAGTCAGGGGAATTCCCATTGTCAAGTTCTTTAGAAACAGCAGGAAGTAACAGTCTGCAGTCATGCTTGCTAAAAACCTTGCAATATGTATCACTGAGTGGGAGAGGATCATCTCCTTCGGTCAGTCATGGAGTTACGCTTTAAAGATTGGCAGGACAGTTATATCACCCTTATATAGCATATAGAAAGCTAAAAAAACTCACCATTTGGATGCCAGATTTCTGTTATAAATTTCATTTTTGGCGGCCTCAGGGGATAATCTCTTGGAAAAGTAAGATGAGCCTTGAATACCCCTCCTTCGCTGGAAAGGAGAAAAAAAAAAAAAAAAAACATTTTTTATACAAAATAATGCAGATTGCTTCTACATATATTGACAGCATTTGGCAAAAGCACCACGCTGTGCTACCAACGGATATAACTGGTGCCACTTTTTAGGTACTTGATAATTCAACACTATTGCTTGTGGTGCTGCTGGATGAAAGTAATTGAATCTTATACATGAATAAATGAAGCAGACTTACAATTTAGGCTGCTCACATGGGTGGAAGCATACCTGGGAGGATATCATAACTTGGAATAAATATATTAATGTGCGGAAATTACAATGGCGAAGAAATAAGTAGTGGTGGAGGAGTTTCATATTCAATTATCTATTTTTTTTTTAAATGCAATTTTAAAATTTATTGCAGTAGAGCAGTAAAAGGTTAGAACATCAGGCTGCATTGCAGTATGTGACCGTATCCTGTGCGACTACTAGGAGAGTAGTGATGAGCAAATTCAGGATAAAATCCCAACAGAGGTTCTAACCCCTTTTCCACACCATCCAAATTGTAGTTGAACAAAGAAAAAAAAAAAAAAAAAAATTCAGCCAATCTGTTTGGGGTAAATGTTAAAAATATATTTTTTAAGTATTGATACTTACTATAAGGTATCTGGAGGGCCAATGATTAGCACTTCCCATCTGTATAGGTCATTATCATCTATTAAGCCCGCTGAGAACCCTTCTACTGGATTTTTATTTAGTTCTGCAAAAAGAACACAAATAATTGATGTTAACTGAATATTTTATTGCATTTTTGTTTAGGAGCTATTGTCATGCTTGGATAAGTAACATGCACATATACAATTATCAATCTTGGATTTTAGTTCCGTATAGTCACTGATGGGTTAAGTTGCACATCTGCTTGTTATGTGTATTACAAAGATCTGGGGGAGATTTTCCAGAGGCTATTTAATGTGTTTGCTTATGCCATTTGGGAAAATCCACTGGGAAGAACTTAACACCATGGAGGTAGTTGGACAGAAGTGAGATATCTGGTGGGGAAATCTCACCAATAAAGTTCCCAATGACAGAAACAAAAACCCAGTGAGGCCTTTAATGCTGGAAATAAAAGCAACCGCGTACATGTGAAACACGGTGCTTCAATACAAAGTTATCCCCTTTCAATAACCAATAGGATCTTTTTACAAAAATATCTTCAAGTCATCACAAAAATGCAAGTTTAATTGTAAACACGAGCCACCGGAAATAAAAACAACATTACCTACAGTACAAACTACAAGTGTGAAGGGTACTGAAGACGCAGGTCAGCTATTTTGTATTGAACAGCATTTAAAATGGAATAAAGAGGAAGCTTTACTTTTAGTAATGGAGTGTTCAACTAGGCCTGTTGCTAGTTCTGATAAGAGCTTGCCATCCACCATGCAAAACTGAAGTGTTGGTTTTAAGAGGAGTTGAACTCAAAAAGTGAACCTGCATTAAAGAAAACATGATTTCCTTTTTTCCAGAAGTATACCCATCATGCTGACCGGGAGTATAAATCAATCCAATCTATGATCCCACTTCAGAGATCACATGACCAAATGCTCGGAAATTGTCATGTGCAAAGCAATAGAGGGATTACAGAAGAGGTTTTTTTTTTCTCTTCAGGAAAGTGTTTCAATCTTGGTATTACTCCATCACAGGAATACTTGACAGATACTGTATATTGGACTACAGGTCCACTTTAAGCAAAACATACAGAAAATAATAAAAAGGTATTTTGCAATGCAGGCTTTTAAATCATACTAGGTAATTAACCTGTAAATCCGAGCTCCAGCCAAACAGCTAAATACACAGATGAAATGCATATACAAGAACCAAGAGATGTGTCAGCAGTCCCGGAAGTGTCCAATAGCAGCGGCACCCGGGGCTTTTCAATAGAGTAAAGAATTTACTTGTCACTCCCCAGACTGGTAAATATACAACGTATTCTGTTAGATGCTGGAGTTTTTTTTTATACTAGAGAGAAGAATCACCAAATAAATGCAACACGGTCTTGTCGCCGCATGGACAGTGAAGGAGAATCACACGGAGGAGCTGATTTTTTTCATTCTGCTACCTCTACCCGTCAGGCAAGTTCCTTGTCAGGCATGGCCACCGTATCAAACCCAAATGGCCCCTTGTGCCACTTCACTATTCTTTCTCCTCCTATAACAGTGATGGCGAAGCTTTTTGAGCCGGAGTGCCCAAACTGGATCACTAAACCAACTTCGGTATCTCAAAGTGCCAACCCTTCAATTAGACCTGAATACTCTCAGGGGGGCTCTGCAGTTCTGAGGTGGTCTGTACGGGCTCTCAGGGGGCTGTATGGCTCTCAAGTGGGCTCTGTGGGGTTTCTGGTGGTCTGTACAGGCTCTCAGAGGAGCTATGCAGCTCTCAGACGGTCTATTATGGCTTTTGGGTGGGCTCTGTGGTCCTTCTGGTGGTATGTATGGGCCCTCTGGGGGGCTGTGCGGCCCTCTGGGGGGCCTATAAGGGTTTTCAGGTGGGCTCTCAGGTGGTCTGTTTGGGCTCTCTGGAGGGCTGTGCGGCTCTCGGGTTGTCTATAAGGGCTTTCAGGTGGTTTATATGGGCTCTCTGTGGGGCTATTCTGCATTGCTGTATAATTATCATACAGCAATGCAGAATACCC